TGGGCCACACTCTGCTTCACCTTCCTGTTGAGGAGTCACGTGGAGCCCTGTGCTGTGCCCAGATACTTCCACTGGCATTGGATCCACAGACTTCAACCACTGGCCTGTGATCTTCCTGCATTTGGCATGTGCTGCATGAGTCTGAAGAAGAATCATGGGCTAATATTGGACTTATGGAATAATATAGAACTTATGGACTTGATCTGAACTGGACGGGGATGCTTTAGTGATGCATAATCACTTCTTGATATAAAGTTCTGACTTATTCATATGTGAATGTCTCTGGATTTGTTTCTCTAGGCAACCCAGCCTAACACAGATTATCACAAATTAAGGATAATACTGTACATAATGGTAAATCCAGAGCACAATTTGTGCTGGTGGGAACCTATACATAGACCAAGAGGCAACTACTGGAACAGGATAAAAGGATACTATATGGTTTAAAATCAGGAAAGGTATGTAACAGGGTTGTATCTTTTTACCACACTCATTCAATGCTGAGCAAATAATCCAAGAAGCTGAAGTATATGAAGAAGAATGGGGAGCCTGGTTTGGAGGTAAATTCATTAACCTTGTGTATGCAGATAATAGAACCTTGCTTGCTGAAATTGAAGAGGACTTAAAGCACTTTCTGTTGAAGATCAAAGACTACAGCTGGGCATAAAGAAAACAAAAGACCTTACAACTGGACCGATAAGCACATCACGAGCAATGGAGAAAAGGCTGAACATGTCAAGGACTTCATTTTACTTGGGTCCACAATCAATGCGCATAGAAGCAACAATTAAGTAATCAAACAACATATTGCACTGGGAAAATATGCTGCATAAGACCTCTTTAAAGTGTTCAAAAGCAAAGGTGGCACTTTAAGGACTAAGATTTACCTGACCCAAGCCAGGGTACTTTCAATTACCTTATATGCATGTGAAAGTTGGGAAATAAATAAGGAAAGCTGAAGAAAAATTATGTATTTGGATTATGCTGGAACAAACAAATCTGTCCTAGAAGTTCAGCCACCCTACTCCTTAAAATGAGGATAGCGAAACATGGTATCAGGAGGAACCAATCTCTTGTGAAGGACATCATGTTTAGTGTAATGCAGTGTATTCTTTAATATGGCTCTTCTTTGTTACTTCCACTAAATGAATTTCATTTTCTTGGTGGACTAGCTATGGTGGGGGGTGTGGGGCAGTGAAAAACTGATGGATTTTATGATTCAACTGTTAGTTACTGTTAACAAAGTTAACTGTGATTGTCTTCCTACTTGATATAAAATCAGCCATCTCATATGATCGCTGAAGACAAATTGGTGCATAAGCAAATGTGGTGAAGAAAGCTGATGGTGCCCGGCTATCAAAAGATATAGTGTCTGCAGTCTTAAAGGCTTGAAGGTAAACAAGCAGCCATCTAGCTGAGAAGAAACAAAGCCCACATGGAAGAAGCACACCAGCCTGTGTGATCACGAGGTATCAAAGGAATGAGGTATCAGGCATCAAAGAACAAAAAAATCATATCATTGTGAATGAGGGGGAGTGCAGAGTAGAGACCCAAAGCCCATCTGTAGGCAACTGGACATCCCCTTACAGAAGGGTCACAGGGAGGAGACAAGCCAGTCAGGGTGCAGTGTAGCAATGATGAAACATACAACTTTCCTCTAGTTCCTAAATGCTTCCTCCCCACCCACTATCATGATCCCAATTCTACCTTACAAATCTGGCTAGACCAGAGGATGTACACTGGTACAGATAGGAACTGGAAACACAGGGAATCCAGGACGGATGATCCCTTCAGGACCAGTGGTGAGAGTGGCAATACTGGGAGGATGGAGGGAGGGTGGGTGGGAAAGGGGGAACCGATTACAAGAATCTACATATAACCTCCTCTCTGGGGACAGACAACAGAAAAGTGGGTGAAGGGAGACGTCAGACAGTGTAAGATATGACAAAAATAATAATTTATAAATTATCAAGAGTTCATGAGGGACGGAGGAGCAGGGAGGGAGGGGGGAAATGAGGAGCTGATGCCAGGGGCTTACATGGAGAGCAAATGTTTTGAGAATGATGAGGGTAGCGAATGTACAAATGTGCTTTATACAATTGATGTATGTATGGATTGTGATAAGGGTTGTATGAACCCCCAATAAAATGATTAAAAAAAACCCAAACCGCCATCTCAGAATCAGGAAGGGGGAATCTTACTACCAGCAAGAGAGAAGAGCCAGGAGTGGAGTACATCCTTTGGACTCCAAGATCCCTCCTTGAACTTCCCTGAACCAGGAGATGGCTTTGACATCAAAGGAGCAGCAGAAGAGCAGCAACAACAGAAACAGGAGCCAGAGCATGAGACAGAGTGGTGGACTTCCCAGCCCACAGAGTGGGGGAAACTGAGTGCTTTGGGCCAGGAAGCTTGCTTGTAATGGGGTGCCTCTGGCACTTAATGGGAAAAACTGAGTTTGCTGACCATAGAGTTGGAGCTGAGCGCTTTCCGGAGGTTTATAGCAGAGGGGCATGCCCTTTGGGTACTTACTGTATCCCTAAAAGACTTGTAACATTGCCGGAGGAGGGCAGAGGCCAGGTTATAAGATTAAGGAACAGAAAGAAGTCTGCCTGTGGGCATGACCCAGAAGAAACTGCCCTGACTGAACAACTGCATGCTGAACATTTCTCATCTGAACTGTAACCTGTTAACTTTCCTAGTAAACTCCATAATTAGGAGCATTGTTTGTGAACGTTGTGTTCCAATGCATTATCACCCAGAAGCAGAGCACTGTGGGAGGAACGGTTGGTGTCAGAACAGGGATGGAGGGTGGAGGCATGTCTGATTTCTGCCTTGTGGCAATTACTCTTAGGAGTCAAAGGAAGTCAGATGTTACGCCATAGTAAAGGAGAGGAAGTCCCATCATGAGATGGATTGACACAGTGGCTAAAACAATGGGCTCAGCATAGCGATGTTTGTAGGGATGACACAGGACTGGGCAGTGTTTCATTCTATTGTGCATACGGTGGCTATGAGTCAGAACTAACTTGATGGCACATAATAACAACAAATGCCAACCATCATCATTAGCGAGAGTGGGAAAATGCACCAAAAATTGGTTCTTGTCTCAATAGATTCACTTGAAATAAAGCTAAGATGACAAACACTAAGTGAAAGTCTATGTAAGCCAAAAATCAAGCCCAACTCACTGCCATCAAGTCGATGCTGACTCAGAGTGACCCCCTGTGGGTTTCTGCGACTGTAACTGTGTACAGGAGTAGAAAGCTTAGTCTGGTTCCCTCGAAGCTGCTGGTGGTTTTGAACTAGCGACCATGCAGATTACAGCCCAACTCCTAACTGTTAGGCCACCAAGGCATGATTTAACATAACTGCTCTGATTCGATAGTCCTCACCTTTCCAAATGCCTCTCCATGCTGCAACACTTTGGCAGTCTAAACTCACATCCTCCTCCAGCCTTCTTCTTTACCCCATTATTGGCATTGGGTTGCGTATTTGTCAATGAACTATTTTATGTTCCTACCCTTGCCATCTGGCAATATTCGCTCTCTGATGAATTGCTCTAACTTGTGCTTTTTTAACAAATGTGACTTTTAGTTGAACAGTACATCATTCGTAAATAGTAAATGCTGACTGATTAAATCAACAAAAGCCCGCGAAGTTGGCAGCAAAAGGAGGATGGGATGAGTTTCAGATACCCATGAAACTTGGAGAGCCAAGCATTTGAAAGGCATCTGGTTATTTGGGGGAAGAACTTCTTACACACATACCTTGTCTCTTCATTATTTGTTTATGTTTAAATTTGTTGATGCACTTGGAATTATAGCTAGATATACATGAGTTTGAATCCTACCTCTACTACTTAATAAACTGAGTTCTTAATTTTGTGCCTCTATGTTTTCCTATCTAAAATAGATAAAATAAATCCCTTGCAAGACTGTCATGAGGAATAAATGAGACCATGTATTCCATGTATGAGAATGTATGTAATGTGCTTGACATGCTGTCTAGGCAGATTGTGGCTCAAGAGATATTAACTGTGGTCATCATCTTCATGTTCTATTCATGGAGGATTGTTGTAGACATCACATTTGGTCTCTGCCCAGCCTATGATTATCCACTTTGTGAAAACTACCACCAACATCCATAGGTACGGACACCAAAGCCATATGTATTTAAGCTATATTTTGTTATGTGACACTGCCTTAGCCTTTGAACCAGAATGAAGAAACTACAGCATTGAGAATTTAACCAATTTCCCCATGTTCACCAAACCATTGGATTCCTGATCTAACTTGGCAGGTAGTCTTTCCTGAAATTTTAAACTGGGAATTGCTTCCCACTGGTCCTCTGAACTAAGAAACTATTAAGTAGGTACCTCTGGCAATGTGAATGCCCAGGCAGTAAAAGTTAGTCTGCAGTAGGAGATGGATGTGCAGAGAGAAGATGTTTTTATTTCGAGTTAAAGAGAGTAACGACTTGTTTTCAGTAACTTTCCACTTCAAGAGAAACCCCATTCTCATCTGTCTATATGACTAGCTAGCTAGCCAGCTAGCTCTATTTCTATTTTTGTCTTCATCCAGAAGATCTTCAATACCAGTAGCATCTCTGTGTATAAGCCCACCAGAGCTTCTCTGTATACTTTGGATAGCCTAGGTAATAAAATAAACTTGATTATTTTTAAAAACAACTCTCTTTACATACACTTATACACTTAAGTGATCTGGTTTCAATTCTTGAAAGACATGTTGAAAATAAAAATAATTACATTTAAAAAATCTTTGTAACAACAAAAACAATAACAAAGAGTCACCAGGGCAATTAATGTACAAATGTGCTTTACACAATTAATTGATGTATGTATGGATTGTGATAAGAGTTGTATGAGCCCCTAATAAAATGATTTTTAAAAAAGAGTCACCAACATTTCTGATTTTACAAAATCAGGTGATCTGATCACTTTCCCAAACTGAAGCAAGAATGGAAGAGCTAGGGTTCCTTACCTGGTGTTGCACTGGATACTGTTGGCCACTGTTGATCAGACCCTCCTGGACCAGCCCGTAGAATGCCAGCCTCCTCCAGATGTACAGAGCTGAGTAAACATATAGATCCAGGTAACAGTTACATCATGAATGCCTTTCCAGCTCTCCTTATACCCTCAGAACTTGCATCTATGGTGGCAGAGCTGTCGCTACCACAATCTGACCACGTTTGAATGGAAGCAATTACTGCTGAATTACCTTGCATGCACTGCAGTATTGCTGACTTACTGACTGGCTGCTAGACTATTCAGGCAGTGAACATGGTTTATCTACATGGCAATTTTGGTTTTCATTAATGCCATGTGGTAGTCTTTAATTCTAGCACAAAGCCCAACAAAGAACTAATGGCATATTAATCTCTTAATGCTGAGTAAGCAAGGAACATTTGTTCTCAAAAGCCAATGCCTCTTTTTGCAGGCTACCTTGTCCTGCATTCTCCACAACAAAGAGGAGAATATACTAAAATTACTTTCTGCTAAGTCCAGTGTTATTCTAGATTGACTACTCAATTAATTCTTAAACTTATTTTCTGTTTTAATATTTTTACATCTTTTGTGGATAGAAAACTGGCTGGGTGATAGATCTATAAGCTCTATATTCTCTCTTTGACTCCAAACAACATATGTAGTGGAAATTTACTTATTGAATTCTGCCCTGTCACTACCCTTCGTCTATACCCTAACCACTTCTCCTTTTTTATAATTTTAATATTTGGAAAATATTAATATTTTCAAGTGTTCTTTAATTCCACCAGCAAATTATACTGGTTCAGTCAGTTCATATGAAAGATACAACCATCCTGGAATCCATTCAGTTTAAAGTAGCATTTTCAAAAGGACATAATGTAGAAGCCTGGAAAAGTCAAGTCCGTGTGTGGAAAATAAAATTAGCATTATTTAAGTCACAACTCTAATGTATTTTATATTGTGAGGAAGAAGTGACATGTTAGTATTTTATTTTTATCTCACTTCTTATCCTTTTTAAATCTTATAGTATCTTAATTTAAGATTGAATAGACTCACACTTAGCTCTTTAATTTTAAAATACAAACAGGAAGTCATATATTTTATCATTTTAAATATGCATATTATGAGGTGACCAGACATCCTGCTTTTGGCAGGACAGTCCCGATTTTTAACAATTTTTCCCCACATCCCGCGGCATTTTTAAAAAGTCCCGATTTTTGGAAAGAATGCACAACAAGCTAGGGTATACAGTTTTCGGCTGCCATGTGGCTATTTCGCCAGGATATGAGTTTTATCAATGGTGTCCCGCTTTACCAATGTTAAAATCTGGTCACCTTAGCATATTACCTACTTTAAATATAGTTTTAGGGTATATCTCATAGCTTTGGTAGTTGCCAACCAAAGTTCTCACTTTACGTCCTTCACCTGGGACACAAAGAGCTAGTATTATAAATTGTGCTTTTATCTGTTGTACAGTTTCATCAATAGCTCATCTCTATGTGAGGGTTTCTGGGGTCTAAAATTATGGCCTAGGTTCCAATGCGACACATCACTAGAACCAACTAACTCCCCATCTTTCGGCCATCACTGATTGTTTCTGGTTCAGAAATAGCACCCAAGTAATGGTTTGTGCTCAATTTGTAATGCTTCAGAGTCGTTCATTTGTTTTAATCTAATTCAATTTTAATGGGCCTAAATTAATTTTTCTTCACCAACTCAACACACATTTTATAAGGTCTCCCTATAGAAACATATCTAATTTGGTGATTATTTCCTTAACCACTTCTCAGATATTTCTGACATTTGAAGTTTACTATTAAATTAAATCCTTTTTCAGGTAGCAATCATTTGTTTTCTGACTCTCCCTATTTGGTTTCCAAAGATATTCACAAATAATGAAATTTTGATTAGGCCCTGTAGCATGGATATAATATCAGTTCTGGGGATGATGGTAGTTAATCAATTACTGTCAAAAAGACAAAGTAGAGAAGGCAAAATTCTATTTAATCTGAGTCTTAGAGTAATGCTTTTGCTTTATGTTAAGCTATATTTGAGCTCTACCAAACCACATCCACTGCTCTTGAGTTGATTGTAACTCGCAGCATCCCTACAGCACAGAACAGAACTGCCTCTTTGGGTTTCAGAGACTTTAAATCTTTACAGAAGCAGACAGCCACGACTTTCTCCCATGAGATAACTGGTGGGAGTAACTTGTGGCTAGCCGCTCACTGTGTAACCCACTCCACTGTGAGCTCTGGACATCAAAAATAGCCCTTCACGTGCTAAGCTCATGCCTTTGTGGAAATGAGATGGCAAAGATATTAAGAAATGAAATGCCTATCAAGTGCTAAAAAAGAATTATGCCCATATGTTGTGGATAATAAAATATAACTGTCAATGTGTGATTGAACTCCAAGGTGAGCAACATGTACATAGTACAATTATATCTGATTCCCAAACATCAATAGTAATTGATATTTTTGAGAGAAAGTGTAGACAGAGAAAGGGTACCGGAAGTTGGGATCACTTCCTGACAGAAATTTTGATGAGGAAAAGAATGCAGCAGCCTTCTCTGTGATCTTTCAGGAACTCTTCTTTGCCAGCACTTGATACAAATTTGGCACTGACCTCTTCCAATGTTTCAAGGAAGAGAAAGACATGGAGAGAAGTGAAAATAATTGCATTCTCCTGGCAAAGCATCTAAATCTTTTCACTTTTGACAGCTGCTTCCGGCCTGTGGAGGCATATTTTATCTGAGCCACACAAAGTGACAGCTCCCTCTGAGTGACAGAAAGGGGGGGATACATACCTGTGCATTCCTGCTCTCAGGGAGGCAGAATAACGCCAGTCAGGGTTGGGCTGTCGGGGCTGCAAAAGCACAAATAGAGTTCAATGTTAATAGAGCCACACATCATGTTCTCTCATGATACTGCTAGGTGATTAGTTGTTTTCTTCTTTAAATATTTCCATGTGCCTAAAAGTATTGAATGAGCCGTTTCATGTGCAACTCTATGATCATATATATATCACATTTAGGAGAAACTAAATTAGCTCATCAGGCTCCTTGCACAGACTAAAGGTCACAGCAAGCCAGGCTTTGCTTGGAACGAGTCAGAAACTAGGTTCTCAAGACATTAGAGGAAGGGCAGTCTGTTTTGAGACGGAGGAGCTCTCACTGCTCTTGCCCTCAAATGTCCCCTTATGGGTACATTTCCAATTCAGTCTTCCAGTTACAACAGAAGGTAGCACTATCCATGGTCGGCTGGGCTGCTGGGACCGCAGAGGACTTTGCAGACTACAGCATGTTTGACCCAGGATATGCCCGGTCAGAACACCAGCATCTGAGAATCCTCTCTTGTGCTGATTGAAGAGGAATACTAGAAACAGAAAAACAACCCACTACAGAATTTGACCTTGTTTTGCTACCCAGTTCTTTTCAAAAATCTGTACTTGTTCCCTGCTCCTCCCTGAGAGCTTTTCCTCCTTGCTCCATTACTGTTAATAAGCGCAGAGGTGTTATTGGTATAGTGGTGAGCATAGCTGCCTTCCAGGCAGTTGGCGCAGGTTTGATTCCTGGCCAATGCGATTTGCTTTTGGGAACTGATCACAATGATCGACATATAACCCCCTCCCAGGGGGACGAACAACAGAAAAGTGGGTGAAGGGAGACAGTGGTCAGTGTAAGACATGAAAAAAAAAGTTATAAATTATCAAAGGTTCAT